GTGGGAGCGGCGGAAAAGAAAAGGTTAGAAGCATTCGAGCATGATGAGGATACCGTGGATAGAGAAGGTTAAAAATGAAGAGATATTATAAAGGGTAAGAGAACAGGGGACTCTTCGAAAGTCAATAAGAAATAAGCGAATTAGGTTGGTAGGACACCTTCTCGGGCATGAAGGTCTAGTCAGAGACATATTAGAGACAGAAACGGAAGTTAGGAGGGGTAGCGGTAGACCTAGATTAGATTACTGTTCGCAAATAGTTAAGGATATGGGTTGTTGTAGTTTTAGAGAAATGCGAAGATTAGCTCAGGATAGGAAAGAGTGGAGGTGCGTGACCAACCAGTCTTAGGACTGACGACCTTATGATGATATATAAATCGTCTAATTAGCAAAAATATTCAAAACATTACACTCCTTAACATATCTCATGTAAAAAAACTGTAACAGAACAAACGCTTTCACAAAATTTGACCATATAAAATATATTATATTTTTACATTATAAATCATTTAGATATTATATCAAATACTGATAAAGTTCAATAAACTTAATACCATCTATGTTTGAACATTGTTGATAACCTTTCTAACTGAGGATATAGTAAGTATAATGAAAATCACAAGAGTCCCTTCGAAAATTTAATTGCCTCCTCCCGTTAGTAAGTTCCTTAATGTGTGAGGGTGCTAACAATTCAAAGTACATATTCTCAAGGGGGAAATAAAAGTCTAACTGTGGAAGGCTCAAGCCTGATAAATGGTTCAAAGTATAAGTACATATACTTTAATGTACAGATGTGTTGTAAATTATATAAGCATTTAATATTACCTTGAGTATTTAAGAAAAAGAACCAAGTAAAATTTTCGTTGTAGATAGTTCCTTTAACATTTTACTAAAATTTTGGCGCATTCTCAAAATTTAATGCATCTCCACCCATTCCTAAACCAAAAATAAATTATCTTGTTAGAGTCTCCACCATGTTTGCTCAAGTAGAAATAGAACCAAATTTAGAAAGAACGATTAAAAAACTATGCCATTCTTATGTGGTTTAAATTATACCAAATGCATTTAGGTTGGTCGAAATTTAGTACTCTAATTGGATCATTTATCAGTTTCTTATCAAAAAATATTTGTTCTTTCCTTAAATTATTTTCGTTTATCTCAAATTTCAACCTTGTTAGTGGAAATGAATGAATGAAAATACCTTCCAAATTTACAATTAGAAAGCATCATATACCAATGGAATTTTGGATCATTCATGGCTCAATCCGAATCCACGGTGAACTTTTGCTGAAATAAAATTTGTCAAAACTGGAAGCTGCGGTTTCTTTTAATATAGTCTTTAGACTTTCTTAAGACAACAGTCAAAGGTAACAAATTTCTTTAAGTTATAGGATGAAGCATTAAAACATTATGCAAATTATTTTTACTTGTACGTATTTATTTTGGTTCTTGTATAGGCCTACTACACATATATTAATACATAGACGAGTTCACTAGATATTTATGCAAAGATATGTGAAGTCTGAAACAGTCCAGTCCGCTTATGAATTGGAAATTGCCTCATGCGACAGGCTACACGACGTCAAGCGGAAAACGTAAAAGATCCGAATGAACAACGGTGTTGGCAGCGGCGGCAACGAAACGGTGACACGACGCCTCCGTTTCGCCACCACCGACGACGTCAAGCGTCGGTCGCGGCTGCTGTTCGGCCGCTGGAGCGAAAGAACGAGCGTCTGAACAGGTGCTAGTAAATAAGCGCATGATATAGTGCGAGAACGGGCGAAAGGTTGAAAAGGAACGGGAACGGGGAGAAAAAGGGGACGAAAGCGAACCGGAGAAGCGAACGACGGGCGTCTCGACGCTCCTGATGCTGCTGCTGCTGCTTTCGACTCGACTCCACCGCAGCGACGCCGCTGCTGCTGTTACTGTTGCTGCTGACGCCGCTGCTGGTGCTGCGGTGTGGACGGCGGCGCGTGTCTGACGCGTCTCCGCTCTAACTAGCGGCCCACTGGCGCCCCGACGGTCCCTGGCGCTCACCCGACGCCCCGATCCATACACAGTGGTACCAAAACAGCGGCGTCAAGCAACTTATACTGATATAATATACCAAGTTACCCCGAAATCAAGCTCCATCGTGATTGTAAAGGATGATTTTAATATAAACCCTATATCCCGAAAACAAGTATCCCGTTATTAGAACTAGAAAATGTAAATACAAAAACATTATCGAAATAATAAATAATTTAGTATGGTAATCAATAATTTCCATTCCAATTTTACAATACAATTTTAATTGCCAATTTTCATTAGATAGGTTTGTTGTTACACTTATTAAATTACATATTATTATTGTTGGTATCTATTGGTTTTATTCTCGGGAACTGGGCGTCACTGTCAGACCGCCGGGGTCCATTTCGCGACCCAATGCCAATTCGCGACTATAATAACAATTTTTTAACTTTTTACCTGCCTTAACGGCAACATACACAAATTAATTTTGTTTTATACACATCTGCGGCACAGTACCATTCGAATGATGTTCGTTTTGGTCCTCTCCTTTTATCTAAAAGTAATACCGAAAAAATGAACGATAGCATTCAACGTTCACGTAATACTGTAGACGCATATTAATTAGTATACGATAAAATCTTTCAGTCGTATCTAATCATCGCTAATAATGAGAAAAAAAATCATTCCCTTCCGACGAATCTTAATACGCGACATCTCAAACTATTTTAATTTTGTAACGCAAAGTGAATGTAATTTTCCTATGGTATGTATAACATTTAAGCGATTATTTAAGTGCTTTTAATCGATTTTCATTTCGCTAAACGTTATAAAATATATTTTTTAATTTGACTTCGAATCTTATCCCTCGCATTAAGACGACTGTTTTTTGTCAACCTCCGATAACTCGTAAATATAAGTCAAGGGAATATAAAAAATATTTTGATAATTATATGTATACACATACGTATGGATACATTTACACATACACACTTTACTGAACAAACTTTCCAAAATTTAATGAAAGGCAGGGTGTTAGGTCGAAGAGTCATTCAAAACAATAAAGAACCATAATAAGTTCTCAAATTGTTCCGATCCATTGAAATTATTCAGAAAACCGATAGGTTGCCTTTTTTGTTTTAAATGACTCTCTGACCTTGCGTGGATTTTCTTTTCTTAGCTTTTCCAGATAACGTGAAAACTTATTTAAATATTTTCCGTAGAGGGTATTATAGAAAACCTGTCTACAAAAAAATCATTGATGTCGAAAAGTAACCATAAGTGTAGATAATATCGTTTCAAAGAAATGTGACACATCGTACATTCTATTCTTCCGTTTGGAATTGTAGCCACCGCAGAGAGAAAATGAAATAGGAAAATTTACCTAAATATTATATATTTACAATTTATCCTACTAGCCCGTTAAAATAATGAAAATTACAATTTGGACCCGAATTTGTAAAAACAAAATCCTAGCAGAAATAAATTTACTAGGTATTTTAGTTGATATTACAAATTTAATTGTAATAATTAAGAAACTTGAAATAATTTTTAAAGAAACATGTCAAAATTGAGATTATTACAAGTTACCTAATAAATTCTACTATTTCTACGGCAAATTCAATCAACATTCGAAAATTCTAATTTTTGCGTTGTCATAAAAATTTAGTTTTCTCCGTGAGTGGAAAGCAAAAGCAGACTTTAAACTGCTAAGTAACAAGTTAGGTACGTAGACGGTACAGTAAGACTTTTTTATAACAGGATGTCGCGATTTTTTTTTGTTTTTTTGTCTTTTTTTTTTCATTAAGTGAACAACAATTGACGTTATCATGAAACCACTTGACACGTCGCGTCGCGTCGCGTCGCGTAACGCCACACAAATATGCTTGTTCAGGGTTACGATTAGATTAACAGTATAAAAACTTATCGCGTAAACGCGAAAAGCTTTGGCCCGTGTTCGAATTTATTGTCCGTAAATTCGCAGCCAGAAGGTTCGCAGTTAAACAAACACCAGCGAGTTATTGGCTCTATCGTTATAAAAGCAGATAACGGCGGCCGAGTTGGTGCAAGCGTGAAACTGGGAACGAATATGCACAAACACAAATGTATTTTAACACACACGCACATATGCATACGTACTATAGAGGCGTATCAGTCGTATAACACACAAAGTGTTTAATTTCCATCAGTCGCGTTTTGGTCATCAATATCTAGTTTCCCGTGGGAGTAGTATATTTAGGTTCATATTTACCTACTTGTTTTGTTGACCCTAGCTTTTAAAAAAAAAAGACTAATTAAACCCGTCCAAATCCGACACAAATCATCTTACTGAATTCAAGATATTTAATGTCGGCTCTCTTCAAACATCATACTCTTGGTCATCTTCAAATCTACACATGCAGATCAAGACAACTAAGCTGCAGACGTACAAAATAAACAATGAACCTCAGACATGTATAATTATAATTGTATCAAAATTCCTGGAAACTGTAGCCTAAAAATTCAATCAGATAATAATTAAAATTTTCCGAAACAATGCTACATACCTGCAGATACAGACGTATCTGTCGGCTAGATAAAGCTTTCAATAACAATATAGGTATGTAAGTAACAACAAGGACAAAATTAAAAATTAGATTATCATTTTAGTAATTTAGTACCGAAAGTTTATCTTCCGTTTAATTAAAAAAAAAGCCAAGTTCGTAGTTATAAAATAATCCGAAATCCGCAATACTATTTCTTATAGGTACGTACAATTGTTACCGCCCAAGTCAAAACGTAATAAAACTTTTGCAAAAAAATATTACATGAAAACAAGTCAAGATTTTTAGCTCACGTTGTCCATCGGCTTTGTTTTAGAACCACTGCGTTATCGTGAGTGTGATGTGGCCGTGTCGGCACGCGACCGAGGGCAGCCGCCCCCTTACACCGCCCCCGGCAGCCGTCGTCCTGCCCGACCTCCCACGCGCCGCACGCGCCTGCCACCGCATCTCACACCACGTCGCAGTTCGCGTGCGACAACGCTCGGTGATAGTCTCATCAGGTCCGACGTTCTACTATCTTTCCGAATACGATCCACAACGTAGTATTCACCATAGTCAGTTGCTTAAATCTTCATATTTTCAAAAAGTTTTGGAAGAAACATTTCTGCTTCCTATATTTCCTCATTCACAGTAGTGTTCATCATTGGGTTCTTCTTCAAGAGTCAAGATATACTCTCTTTACTTGTGCTCTTAATTTTTCACCATTATCACCACAACGTTGTTATCGTCTCCAATGACTGCAAAAACTAAGAAAGCCACAGAACCCAGACGTGCAAATAAACCCTTGATGGAGAAGAGACGGAGAGCTCGAATTAACCAGTCCCTTTTGGCACTCAAAACATTGATCCTGGATTCTGCAAAATCTGAAAATACTAAACATTCCAAACTTGAGAAGGCAGACATCCTCGAGTTGACCGTCCGTCATTTTCAAAGACATCGCAGTCTGGATACTGCTGGGGTCCGTCAGTATCGTGCAGGTTACTCAGATTGCGTCAAAGAGGTACAGAGATATTTGGAAACACCTGATGCTCAAACCATGACTGTGATGGATGCTGGAGTTCGACAGAGACTCGTTCATCATCTAGAAAATTGTGTTTCTGAAGTTGATTTGGACTTGAGACAGCCTCCCAGTGTAGAAGAACGGTTACAACCACCGGATTCCAGTACAGTAGAAGAAATAAACAACAACAGGAACTCTGATGGAAGTTCACCAAGGATCATCGTGAAACCTCCATCTCAACAGATGGAAATCCAACAAACCGGTGACGTATTTGCGCCCTATCCTACAACTACCACCAATACTGTGGGCTCCCAAAGGCTACCAACATCTAGTATAGTCTGCAATATTGATCCAAAAGTCGCTGCATCTACAGCTACTGATTGCTTCGTAATAAATGACGTATTGGCAGTTCCTGATTGCAAAGATTTGTCCACAAAGGTGCTGAAAACGAATGATGGTAATTTTGTTTTTGTTTTACCATCGCATTATTTACAGTTGGCCAACGCATTGGGCATAAACCTGAAAGATTACCGAAGCGAATCACAGGATGGACTGTCGAGTGTTTCGGTGAAGTGTGAACCGGAAAAGCCGCTAGATTTCAGCAAAAACAACGAAAATGACAGCATGTGGAGACCTTGGTAAAAAAAAAGGTTCCGACAAACACTTCTTCGCCACAGTTATCTGATATGAATTTTTATGGTTGTGTGTCTAGTCAGCCGTGCAATCTAGATTACAATTTATTTTTATCATAGTTTAAAGTAGAATACCCTAGCCAATGATGTGCTAATAATGTTCCTTTGAATAGAATACGTGTAACATTGTAAATATTTTTATTATTGTATATNCCTATTTCTGCTTCCAGAGATAAAATCTGTTAATAATCCTAAGTAGAGAAACAAGCATACACAAACTTTGAGTCTTCTTAATACTTATAAAAAAACAAATATTACGTGAATTTTCTTTAAATGCCTTTCCTGGTGTGATTTAGCTCAACTATGAACTAATAAATCCTCTATAATATAAAAAAAAATGAAAAGCTCTGAGATTAATTAAAAAGCGATCATATTACGTTTATAATAATAGGAAGACTTCTTCCCAAAGAATGATCTGTAGATGTCTTGTAGACATTATTCCTACATACTGTTTGATATTTGCGGGATTTAAATTTTTCCACATATTGTCTTTTGAAACAGATTGCAATATACATATATGCTTGTACTGTAGCAAATCGTTACGCAATTCCTTAAAGGAATTTCCGACTGAGTCAAGATCCAGATCATTTCCACCGCCTTCAACTTTTGCAGTCGTACAAATGGCCGCCACCAACCCCCTCATGACCTGCTTGTTTGATGTCGACACGCTACTGAAACAACCGATCCGACGCCGCCGTTTCCGACCTACCGACGACGCCGTCAACATCGACGCTGAAAGGGACAAGTGACGAGCAGAACTTAATCTTTCGTTCTCGACATTCACGTCCATTCGCTCGCCCTCGATCTTCTAAACGTTAAACGGCCAACCCCTACACAAAGCATACCTATATCCTAGACCCTAGATGATATTAGTACTGAAATTTCAACATAACAAACTGTTGGAAGAAAGTCGTTACCACGTAAAAAATTTCGCGAGCATTTTTGGATTAAAAATGTGCTCATAATTACTACACATAACCCTGTTTATGTGCAGATTTCCAAAATTATTTTCTTTGAATACTGAAACCGATACGAGAGCGCCTACTCGTCGTGAAAGAAACAATTGTACTTCCGTTCTAAAATTCTTTCCGAAAAACTGCCTATCTCCTCCTTGAACCTTTTTTTATTACTACTTGTTTTCAAGTTTTAAACTTTTTCAAACACAAACCATACCAAAGAGAGAGTTAGCAGGCATAATCCCAGACCTTTTAACTTTATATTTTTCAAAAAGGACCAGACAACAGCTGAACAGTATTTAGGTACATAATAATGATGAAGTATTACTTCATCATATTTCCTTTTTAATATAAAAACGTAGTCTTCTTTTTTATCTGCAGCTTTCACCCAAATGGTCATACTTTGTTTGAGAGTGAATTCAGTTTTAACACCAACACAAATTACTATAGTTCGGATTTCGTTTCCTCAATTCCTTCAAAATTATTTTCTACAAATGTGAAAACCTTGTGAAACTTTGTTAAGTGATTCTTCATGTTATTGTAAGAGTTGGGACATCCAGGGTGCCTCCAGACACACGGATGGTCCCTTGGCGTCCGTCAGGTAACAATTATCGAGAATCCTTATAACGCTTTTAACCTCATATTGTATATTGACTAGCAGGAACGTGCCCCTTTTCTTTGCGGAAAAAGATGTTTATTAGCGACGTCTCATCTTCCTCATCCGTACAGAATCTACAGTTACTATTTCTCCAGAGTTTCATCTTGTGTCTGTGCTTCCACAAAGGAACCATGACCAGTAACAATACCCATCAGGATTTGTACATCTCCCTTACACAATTCTAGTATCAGTTTTGACTAACCCTCCATCTCATATGTATGTTTAGATGAAGGCAGTGGTTGTTCTGCATCTGTTAGTGTTGCTCCTCACCTTGGTATGCTTATTAGCGACCCAACTTTTAATTTTGGTTACCGTGGCGCAGATACCAGCTACCGTTTCTGATTTTAAAAAGCTGTCCTTCCTAGCTTTCTTGAATAGTGATCCATAAATTGTGGACAAAAAATGTTTTCAGGCCATTATTGCTTCTCATGGTTGTAGAAATTTTGAATCCAATCTCAAACGTTCTCATTAACCCTTTAGACAAAAAGAATACTACTATACAAGTGAAAATACTGAAAAATTGACTCTGCTGTATCCACCTGATCGTATGGCTGAGTGATAACCGCTTCATACACAGTTAGAGATATTATTTGATGTCTACTCTTTTATATAGGACATCATGAAGGTATCTGCTAAATATAAAACAACTTTTGGGGAAGCTTCGTCTTTGTAAGCTCATATTTACAGCGAGCTTTTCGGTGGCTTCGAACAAAAAAGGTTTATTTAAAATAGTTGTTAAAGATTTGACCAGGTCCATCATTAAAGAGGAGAGACATGGTGCCCTAATGATGATAAAACGCGAAAAAGATCTTTGCAATGCTATTGACCTAAACAATACGGTGAATTTGTGGACGAAACTTAAACACAGGCGAATTCGAGTAAACTAATAGTATTACCCTACTGTGCTAACAATGCCTTTCGGGTTCGATTCCCGGCGATGGTGTGAAAATAGCAACAAAAACTTTTTCTTCATTATGTAGTGGAATCGAATTAAGTTCGGGTGCTGTCAGCGGAAAAGCCACGTAGGAAAATAGCGTTTTTTTACGAGCGAACGCAAGCAACGGCTACGAGAGTTTAATCAGCACAGATATAAAACTTAAAAATAATGTGCTTAACAATATTAATTACTGATTTAAATTTTCAAGGGTTAGATATAATGTAAAACACAGACACGAAATTTCTTTTTTTTCGTCATTTTTCCAACCAGTGGAATAAAATCTGAATGAAGAAAACTCAAAAGCACTTGTTAAATTTTCAGATATTTTGGATACGTAATCTTAAAGAGAAAATCATATTTCTTAAGGCACTTTATTAAAACAATATATCAATATGTATCATGTTTTTAAGAGAAATAATTTGTAATAAAATAATTTAGTTTTCAGTTCTAAAAGAATCTAAAAATTGTAATTAACTACATAAAAATTTCAATAAAATATACGATAGATTGCAGTGATCTGTCCCAACTGCCCTTGCTAATTAAGAAAATGCCTAAAAAGCATCAACCATCCAGTACGTAAACTTTCCACGTTGACGATGTCATGCTGCCGTCACTTTTCCTGATAATTGATGTGTTGATACGGAACGCGAATTCTAATAATTTACGTAACAGGACGCTGCCGACACCGTTGCACCACCGTCCGTCCGTGCTGATACCACTAACAGTCATCGTAAAAAAGGAGGACGCCACATTGAACCCTGAGCGACACTACAGAGCACAACTCGTTTGAAAAACCGCCAATGGAAATGCACCAGCGAACTGATAACACACAACTTTTCTTTAGTAATTTGTTTAAAATCAACTGAATAACTGAAAGATAGGGTAAAGGTCTAGATGGGGGTGGGGGGGATTGAAAGAGGAGGTCTCCCCCACCACTGTACCATAGAAAGTTCGTGGCGGTCTCACCCCCATAAAAAGTTATGGGGGTTCAAAATTAATAATTGTAGGGGAGATCGAAAGTGGGTGGACACCTCACCACTGTACCATAGAAAGTTCGTGGCGGTCTCACCCCCATAAAAAGTTATGGGGGTTCAAAGTTAATAAATATGCCAATTTTTATACATTTCTAGGCATGTAAATATTTATATAGTCATTCTTAAACAATATTCAAAGGTAAAACTAATGAAAAATACATAAAAATATTGAGAAAGTTATATAAAACATTATTTAAATATCTTTATCAATAGGGTAGGTTAGGTTAGGTCTAGTTAGAGTCATATTAGAGGTAGAAACAGGAGTTAGGAGGGGTAGAGGTAGACCTACATTAGATTACTGTTTGCAAATAGTTAAGGATGTGGGCTGTTCTAGTTTTAGGGAAATGCGAAGTTTAACTCAGGATAGGAAAGAGTGGAGGTACGTGTCCAACCAGTCATAGGACTGACGACCTTATGATGATGAAGGTTAAGTTAGGTTAGGTTATCGGGTTTTGTTCAAGTGACCACCCTCTTTCGATCCCCCACCTCCACCCGCTTGAAAATATCTTTTTTAATGCATTTTATTTGAATTATAGTGTATGAAATGAAATGAAATTGACAAAATAATCAACTTTCAACCCCCATAACTTTTTATGGGGGTGAGACCGCCGCAAATTTTTTATGGGGTTTTACTCAGGTGACCACCCTCTTTCGCCCCCCCTACCCTCTTTCGACCCCCCTACCCTCTTTCGATCCCCCTTTCCCTCTTTAGATCCCCCTACTCCCACCCCCATCTAACCCCCGTAACTTTTTATGGGGGTGAGACCGCCACAAACTTTTTATGGTACAGTGCTAGGGGAGACCTCCTCTTTCGATCCCACCCACCAATGATGGGGGCCATCATCTAGACATTTACCGAAGATAGTTTTTAAAAGATAAGGTTTTGTAGAGATTTAAAATGAAAAAACTAAAAATAACGAATTAGATCATTGTGTCTATGCTAATAGACTCAATAACAACTATTTTACAACAAAGGCTGCGTTCAGAAATAAACAGTACCAGGTAAAAGTTACGCCCAAAGTACACCCAAAACCATTCACCCTTTCATTTCATGTTCTCTAACTATTGTACGTGTTGTGCTTTGTGCACCCTTGCTAAATGAATAGCTACATTTTTTCATCGTCGGGTTCATACTCTGATACCTCATTAATAATTGCCTCTGTGAATTTGTTACCTGAAATAACAACTGTAACAGAAGGTAAATGTTTCTGGTGGCTGCTACGAATGATGGTAATCATTTTTGGAAAAGCATTTTACCACTTTGTATCTGACTTTTCGAGATTAAGAATCGGCTTCGACCAAAAACACTCAATGCGTTCGTAAAGGGCTAACAAACAATTTAATACTGCAGTATTACCTTATCACGTGATAGGTATGCTTTTCTCGCTGGGAAACCCAGCCCTGAAGTTAATGAGCCGCAATGAAGTTTAGATGACTCCGATTTAAAATTTTTCATCTTTGCTATCTCTTGGAATTTTCAGTTGGCTGTAATTACTGTTCTGAGGAATCAAATAAGTTGAATTTTCGAAAACGTGGAAAAAACTTGTCGTAAATACAG